GTGGAAGTACTTTGCATTTCAGAACTGACACTAGTGTGTTTCAGCCTCCCTCCAAGCAAGCAGCAGTTCACTGAATGTCTTCCAAGAACAAACTGAATGGTAGCTGGCATCAAACCCATGCAAAATTGGCATCCCAGCTCAAAAAGCAAACCATGTCCTCTCCTCCCCCCACCAGCTTTTTCATTGTAGCCAGACTCTCCTAATGAAGACACAGGTTTTGTTTGCCTGCAGTAACACAGGTACCACTGATGCAGCCTCTATAGCTTCACATTCCTCAAGAGTACTCCCAAAATGCCAAGTATTTCAGTGATGTTGGCACTGTCACTGGCCTAGGGCAGGAACTCCTGCAGATTTCATGCTTAATTCGCACACCAGGATGGTCTTTCTTCCTGGAAACACTGAGATGAGTGAAGAAAGCAAGAAAGGAAGGCAAGGTGCAAGTCACACTCCCTAATACTCCACATTACTCCTGGTCACTGCCATCCCTTGAGCCATTTCCATCAGGGACAAGCCTCAGGATGGAAGGCAGAGGGAGAGACTAAGCTGTGCTGCCAACATCTAACAATTGGCTTAGGTCTTCTGCTGGAGGTATGCAAGTTCTATCTTGGATTTTAGATCCCATTTAGATTTCCTCTCAAGCAAATCCTCATCAAAAGATACTGTTAGCAATACATTCTCTTTCCTCTCTCCTTTCCCAGTGTTTTAGTGCAGTATCATATCTGCTTTAAGGGCTTCCAAGGACTTCCATGGGAAATATTCCAACACAGACTTCAGTGGAGTCAGTAAACCCAGCAGGGAACCAACAGGACCTGCTGGGTGTGTTACCTCACCAGGAGGATTATTAGTAAGAAAAATGGAGCTGATTATTTTATTCTTTTAGGCCACTTCTAAAAAAGTACTTCTGGGAATGCTCATCTTCCCAAATAAGAGCAACCAAAAAAAATCCATAACCTGCCTAAGATGCATTCCCATAGGAATCTATTAATTCTGTGTACACGAAGTCAGCTTTCTTAATGTGCCACTTCAGATGTGTTTTGGCATCTGTCAGAGACAGAGTTATTCCTTCACTTAAGGATCACAGCACCAGCCTGGAAATGGCATCGAGGCACTTAGAGTGAATCACTGGGACACAAGAGTGTGTTTAAATGCAATGCTTCAACCAGAGCTGAGCTGGACTCCCTTGAGAGCAACAGGCAACGTCTTGGCACTTCCATCAAGATGTTCTTGCTGTGCCTCCCATCCCACCCATTTCCTCTCTTGAGCAGTTAAGACACTGCTGTTTTATGTCTAAGCTCAGACTCATGTCATACACATTCAGGTTTGACTTTCACGTTTGGACATTACAGGATACACCAGACACCTCTTAGCTGTGGAGCACAGGAAAACATTTTACACCACCTAATTGTTATTTTAATGCACGTCATTGTCTTTGAAAATGCTCAAGTCCTCAAGGACACACACAGATCAACATGTCATTAAATCACTGATTGTTTCAAGACCAGGAACTTAGAGATATTATCTTACAACTATACTTAAAAACACAGACCTTGAATCTGCCACCATATAACAGAGAAAAGGAGAAAAGCAATCCTGGAGCTCCAATAGCATAGCAACTCTCTAAACAACCCCAGTTGCTTCTTTGCTTTCCATTTCCAGGGTGTATCTGATCACCAGATCCCAGTGTAAGCAACATGCTGCATTTTGAGGAATGGAAGCATCTGATCCACTGGTCCAGGGCACAAACCAAAACCACCAAGCCCTAGGTTTCTCCCACACACCCAAGCTGACTAAATCAAGCTAATGCTGTTTTGATGAACACTTGGTACAAAGTTTTTTTCAGCTAAACATTATGCACATACTGAACACAAGTTCTCAATCTCTCATCCATTTCTATTTCAGAGGTTTTGAGCAGATCAAGCCCCTCAGCTTAACAACAGCAGAGAGACTGGGCTGAAATCTGCAGCTTATTCTAACCACTAAGAACTCTGCAGCCTCTTCCCCAAACCACCACACACACCCCCAATGCAGAAGGCAAAACCAGACCAGCAAAAGTACCTCAAAAAGCCTTTGAACAGAGTCAGACTTTCCAAAAGAAGCTTATCCATCCCAACTCCTTCCATGTCCTCCTAGGTGAAACCATTCCCTTTGCTACCTTTCCAGCTTAAATGCTTTGAGTTGTGCCCAGCCCCTGCCCACAAGGCCCAGGCTGCCCAAGCACAGCTGACCTCAGTTGGCTTAGTTAGCCACATTGCAGCAGTTAGAGGACACAGGTGAAACTGGGGAGAGCTGATTCCCACTTGTACAGGTGTTGCTCTTCAATGAGTCGAGCACCTTGACTGGGAGGGCTTTGGAACAGCATTACCTTGTCCTGGTTTTGTGCTAAGCCATGCACAAAGTCAGTTTGGAGGATTCCTGTGTGCTGTGTTATTAAAACATAAATCCCAGGAAGACTTACCACTAAGTGAAAGCCACAGACCATAGGAAACTAATGCAGATGGGACCTTCCTTCTCCTAGGGAACTGCTGCCACATTTCATGTGAACATTAACTCTTTGCCCCTGCTGCACAATGCTTCTTCATTGGAGTCTTCCCTCTGGTGACCAGTGACAGGACACAGGGAATGGCTGGAGCTGTGTCAGGGGAGGTTTAGGTTGGATATGAGGAAAAGGTTCTTCCCCCAGAAGTGTTTGGGCACTGAACAGCTCCCCAGGGTCATGGCCCCAAACCTGACAGAGCTCAAGGAGCATTTGGATAATGCTTTCAGGCATATGGAAGGATTTTGGGGTTGTCCTGTGCAGGGCCTGGAATTGAACTGATGATCCTTGTGAGTCCCTTCCAGCCTATGTGATTCTACATAGGCTTCAATAGGATAATTTGTATATATTAACTCTACCATACGCAGCATGTGCCTGATTCTCCCTTCTCCCTCCCTTTCAAAGAGGTCTTGGCCACAGGGGAGTTCACACACCTTCAGTTTAACCAAACCCAATCCTCAGGACCTGCTATAACCCCCCAAGAACAACAGATAATGCCAAGGGAGGGAAAGAATATCCCCTTTTCAACACATTGCAGTTAGTGTGGCAAACAGCTGGTGATGTCCATGAAGAGGAGAGCCAGAGCCAGGAGTCCTGTCTCTGCAAACAGCAGTACAGAGTCCAAAGCATGAGGCTCAGGTTCACATTCCTGATCCCACGTGTGGCTGTGACTCAGGAGGTTTTGGCAGTAACACACCCGAGTTCCAACGGGCCCAGCACAGCCCTGAAGGTCAGGCAGTGCCAGGCTTTCAGCTCAGGGAGAGCAAGACAGCTTGTGTTTTGTCTCCTAACACAGACTAGAGTTCAGGGTACATCTGTTGGCATTTCAAAGGTCACGTCAAGCTTAAAATGCTTAATGTACTTTGGAAAAATACAACAGCATAGGTTCTCTTCTTCTTTACCTTCTGCTTCCTGAGCCCTGAGATCATATGTCACCAGTCCTTCCCACATTTCTTCCCCAGCTATGGAATAGCTAGGACACACTGGGTTTGGATCAAAGCTGAGCTCCTCACCTGAGTTTACAAGCCAAATCATGAAGAAGAAAAATCAGGTAAGCCCATTTTACCCAGAGAGGTGGTGGATTCACCATCCTTGGAAGTGTGTAAGAGGCATTTGGATCTGACACTGGAGGATATGGTTTAGGGGTTTCAGCAGTGACAGGTTAACAGTTGGACTTCATGATCTTAGAGGTCTCCTCCCACCTTGATGATCCTATGATTCTATAAGGGTGATGAGAAAAACCTGAGAGATGCCAACACTGAAACTGTTACCTTTACCCCTGTGCAAGCTAATGCTGGTACTGGTATTCTCTTTGTTTTCATGCTTTTACACCTGGTTTGGGTTTCATTCCCCCCTCCCTCTTTTGTTGGTTGTTCAGGGATCCACCGAGGATGAACAGCACATGACTAAAGGCACCTCCTTAATTGAAAGCCAACACCACCATCTGCTGCACTGCCTGGAAAAAACAACCGTAAGTACCAACACGATCCTTTTACACCGACCAGGGCTGTGTGCCTGGCCTGGGCTGCCCATGGCCAAGGTGTACACACAGTATGCTCTGAGGTGTCCCTCCAGCAGACATACTCAGCACACCTCCAGCTATGCCACAGGGGGATGATACTCAGGCTCCCACGAATACTCTGCAGTGGGTTAAATGCACTTCTGTTTCATTGTCGTCTTAAACTGATAAAAATAATCCTTGTGCAAAGGATAAATATGTGATTTTTCTGCTACTCCACGGTCATTACACCTGTGCAAAGCCAACAGCAGGTTCCTCAGTCAAGTTCACCTGAATGCAAATAGGTTTTCAAGCATGGGCTTAGGGAGATCCCAGAAACAACAAGTTGAATTTCTTCAGTGCTTCTGAAAGAGAACTAAACTGCATTTGTCTTGTGCTGTCAGTCACACATCATGTACACCCATCACTTGTGCTGATTAGCAATAGAGGACAGTTCTGCTGCCTTAAGAGGAAGATGTTACCTGTGACTCCAAACCACAACCTGGTCACCAGTGCCAACAGGCTGGGGGAAAAAAAATCACCTTTAGCCCTTGAGATGAGTCAGAGCACATGAACTCTCCTAATGGGTTTAAAGGTTGCACATATCTTCTCACTTCAGTCTGGTAATTTACCTCAAAGCCATTCAAGCAGTTCCTACAGCATGAATTTCTGTTTGCATGGTGCAAGGTGTTGGGAGAGAGGGTTTTGTTTTTCATTATTAAATGATTGTGTATGCAGAAGACTCTGGGAACATTTCAGATATTGATTTGATACATATGTTTTGCTTCCAGGTGTATAGAAAAGGTTCTGCAGTAAAGGAACACATTATCTATACCATGATTCATTCTAGAAAGAATGAAGAGAGGTTAACACTTGAAATATTCATGCTTTTTCCTATCTGCATCCGTCATCAAGTGTACTTTTAGTTTCTGACTTACAAGAGCTTTCTTTTAGATAAATCACCTTCACTTCCATAGTTTGGCTTATGCTGGAATAACACCACTTAGGCCTCAGAGATACACTGGAAGATGACTAGTTAATTAATGACCTCTGAGCCCAACGAGCTCGAAAGGTCACCGTGCCTAGGAGAGTGAGCTGATTCTTCCTGTATCAATGACTAGTGAATTTGTTTTCTAAGACTCATCTTGCCTTTATTTCTACCAGTTTTGGATGTTACATAACCAGCAGATATTTCACAATCTGACTCTTCAGTTTGGAACTTTACGCTTCAACCTTTAAAAAACCTATATCTAAAATACTTTCAACTGGAAAACTTGAACAAATTGGCTGAAGCAAACACAAGCTGACAGTCCTGCCTGCAGGGTGTGCCCTTACAGGGCCCTGATTTTATAAAGGCTTATAGAAATTCTGACCTCTGCACAGGGCAGGTGAACATCTCTGGGAGCTGCATGAGTTGCCCCATTACTAATGAGATGGTGAGTGCTGGAGGTAAAAATACTTTCAACTGGAAAACTTGAACAAATTGGCTGAAGCAAACACAAGCTGACAGTCCTGCCTGCAGGGTGTGCCCTTACAGGGCCCTGATTTTATAAAGGCTTATAGAAATTCTGACCTCTGCACAGGGCAGGTGAACATCTCTGGGAGCTGCATGAGTTGCCCCATTACTAATGAGATGGTGAGTGCTGGAGGTAACGTGGCCAAAGCACATGATTTGTGGATGTGGTACCCTAAGACCTGGCTGGATCAGCTTATCCCACTAACAAAGGTAGATTGCCTCCAGCACACAAACCTGCTCAGACACCGAGTCCCAGGGATGTTCCAAATGTTGCTCTTTTCAGCAAAGAATGGCAGGAACAGCGATCTTTGAATTTTGATTAACACTCAGAGAGAGGATCTAATGTGTTTTCCCTCATGTTTTTCACCCAGTTATTACCACAATGCAGCATCAAGTCACACAGCAATTGGGATTCTGGTCTGGAATGATCAATCCAAAGAGTTCAATGGGTTTGTGAGGAAATTTGGCAGATCACAGAATCTGTTCAAACACTCTGTGACAGTTCTCCTCCTGAAAATTTAAATCAGTGTCAAAGCATTTCTAAACACTGAAGAGTCATTTTGTGACCAAGTTGCAGGAATGGAATGAGGAATGTACCATGGTTGCAAACTCGTTTCAATGGGCAATTCACCTTTCCTTAAACTAGGCAGGAGGATCCTCCAAGCACATTATTTATTGACACGGTATCTGGGTCGTCACCAGCACACACAGCCTTACAGCTGAATGGCTGTGAACAGCTCACAAATCTGCTGTGTCAGATGGCAAAGTGACCCTGAAGTACTTGTAGCTGCCACAACAGAGTTTACTTTGTCACATCAGCACAACAGATGGAGCTGGTTCAAACCAAAGGAGGTTTTTTTTCCTCTCGTTCCAACTCCCAGGTTGAGTATGGACATTCACATGCCATTTTTCCTCCAAGTGCTGAGTGCATTGAATCCAGTCCTTCAACCCAAACCTTCCTGCTGTGTTTTCAGAGGACAATCAAACCTCACATCCATTGGTGATGCAATGGCAAAACAATTCCAATTCGTGACTTGTGAATCAGCGGCTGAAACTTTGTTCTCCTTTGCCTTCAGCTCTCCAAAGATCAAAGCCATAAAGTTGTTACTGCTTTTGTTCTGTTTCCAAGAACATAACATGAAAAAGCTTAAGGAAGAACAAAGGGGTCTGATTCAGGCAAGGTTTGGTGAAGAGAAGGTCTAGTTGCCCATTCAAACCTGAGCGAGCTGGTTGGAATGCTGAGGCGAGAGATGCAGTGCTGGGACTAAACTTCTGAATGCTGGAATGGACAATCAATTGTGTTTTTATCTTTTGTTGGCATGTTGTCCCGTAGGGATTGTCCTATCTTGTGGATGATCCCCTGTTATCTGTACGAACTTCCACCATCAAGGTATTTCCTTTTAAATTCGATCTGTTTTCTCTGTGGTCTCTGTGACATGTCTGGAGAGTGTTTGCTTACTTCGTTCCTAGTCATGTACTTGGGAGTTTGTGCACGTGGCTCCCTTTGGCTATCCAGTGCTCTTGTTTCTTGTGAGACTTGTTAGTTGGTCCAGTGAAATCTGGTGGCTGCCTTCAGCATGGTTGCTTTTGTTTCCCATCCTTTCTGATGTTGGCAGGGACTGGATAAAGTCTGTTCACCACAACTACCTGAGTGTTTCTAGACACACATATGAGTTCTTTCTTCCAGGATTTCTTGTTCCTCAGCACAAAAACTCTTTACAGATTCAGCTTTCTGTATTTCCTTCCCCTAAACACTTTCCTCTCTCACCTGCCATGTCTGTTCCATTCATCCAACGCATTGCAGGGATGCTTTGAACCCAACAGCCAATGCAAGACACATCCTGCAGCTAAGTTATACATCCAGGTGGTCACCCAAGTAAAATACAATCCTGTCCCCAGGCACAAAGGGAAAAGGAGCACAAACTCCCCTTGGGTTTCATAACCATGTGGCACTCCAGAGTTTTTGAAGCCACTTCTGGAATCCAGACACAAAACTGAAGGGAACTGGAAGACAGTAGATTAACCAGCTCAGACTACCTAAGCAAAGCAGCACTGACAGACTCTCGTGCTTTTCTCACTGCAACAGCTCCTCTTATTCCTCTACTGATGCAGGAGAGCAAAATCTTCTCGTGGTTGCAGTGACAGCAGAGTCATTTCTTTGTAAGATCTGCCCAGTGAACTGTTTTCAGGCACAGAGGCAGAGAGATCCCACACAGACCAGGGGCTGGTATACCCCACCAGCCTAGCAAAAGGTGCCGTTGAACACAAACTGCTGTTGGGCCAAAGCTGTTGGTGCCACCAGAGAGTAACAACCCTGTTTTTTCCCCTTGCCAGAACCATGAGTTCATAGATGAGCAGCTGTTCGAGCAGAACTGCATGGAGAGCTCGATGCAGAACTACCCTTCGTCTCGGAGCCCTTCCTTGTCCAGCCACCACGGACTGACCACCACCTGCTGCTCGCGCCGCAACAAGAAGACCACTCACCTCCCCAACTCCAGCGTGCCAGCTACTCGCCTCCGGAGCATGCAGGAGCTCAGCACCATCCACATCCAGTGCAGTGAGCAGCCCTCCCTTACCACAAGGTATAGTACATAGACTCTCACTGCATGTCAACCTCCGAGGTGCATCATCCAACTGGAGGGTCCTCCAGGACTGTTCTCCAGTCAGGGAGAGGGGTCTGGTGCTGGTAGTATCTTTGTTTCTCTTCTAGTGATGACCCAAGGAAAGAAGCTCCTAGGTCTTACAGGAAGAATCAGGTCAAAGCCAGACTATAGTGTAGTTCTTGGATATTAGGAAGGTTCTTCCCCCAGAGGTGTTTAGGCACTGAACAACTCCCCAGGGCAGTGGTCACAGCCTCAAGCCTGACAGAGCCCCAGGGGTGTTTGGACAACACTGTCAGGCACAGGGTGGGATTTTGGTCAGCCTTGTGCAGGGCCAAGAGTTAGACTTGATGATCCTTGTGGTCCCTCCCAGCTCAGGAGATTCTTTGGTTCTTCTCTGCCCAGACTGGACATAGAAGAATGAATTCCAAGTGCTAACCACACTGCCCAGCTGTGGGTCACTCACCAAAGCTGGCACAGGACCACTTCACAGCCCACTTCATAGCCCAGTGCTTCCAAACCTTTACTGGGAGCAGGGAAAAACAACAGGCTAATAGTGTCTGCCAGGAAATGCTATTAGAGAGCTGTACACATGGATATGGTCCCCCAGGGACACTCACACTCCACTGACTTTCATTGTCCAAAAGTCTAAATTGCAACTGTAAGCACCAAACATTACTGGGAACCAGAGAAGGAGGAATTTCACACTGGTGTCGTTGTAGCCCTCACCTAAAAAGCCATAAATGACACAAGTGAATTGTCCCTTAATAGAAAACTTTGAAAATTTCCTTTTATATGTAACTCGCTGAAAAAGAATCATTTATTCACCATATCATTCTTGCAAGTATTAAATTACTTTCTCAATCCCCCTCAGCCCATTAAGTTCCTTGGGCACCAAGGCTGGTTTTGAACTTCCCATTCTTCTTCTCCCCACTCTATCAAAGGGATGTAGAACCTGAACCAAAGCTGCCTTTAGGGCAGCAAGTGATGACTTCGTGCCAGAAGGGCATTTCAGAGCATGAATTATGAATGAATAAGCACAAAACAAGTCTCAGCTATTTCAGTTTTCAGTCTGACAATATTTTAAACCAGCACCTGAAGCAATAATTCAGGGGAATGTCAACTACTCTGCCTATTTCACTGGGTGCTAAATCAGATGCCAGTGATATTTTAAATGTCAACACTTATTTCGCTTGCTTATTAAACTGTGGAAGAATGGAGAGAGGAAAAAAAAAAAGAAAGCTTTCAAGTTGTTTTTCATGTGGAATGAAACTAACTGGGTTTACTGATTACCAGTGGCAGAACCACCTAGTTCCAACTACCCCACTCTCAGCTTGTACCTGAGGCATTCAGGGAGCAGAATGGGTTCTGCTGTGTTCTTGGGATGCTTGAGAGATCAAGAACCTTCCTCTGGGTGAGTCACTCTGAGGTAACAACAGCAACAGCTTTCCAACTGGGAGCTTTGCATTTTGAAAGGACAGGCCTTGTGTTTAAAATGAACACGTTGGGCTGGTAAATAGCAGAGTCCTGGAGCTGTGCAGATGCACAGAATCAACCTATCATTTTCCCTCTGTAATTAATTATAGGATGCAATTGATGCAGATCTAATAAGAATGCTCCCAGCTGCCAGGCCCTTGAAACTACTGCAGAGAGAGGGGGAAGAAAAGAATAGGAAAGATCAAGGGACAATGAAGTTGAAAGAGGTATTTGAAATGCAAGGAAAACAACATCTCTCTCAGAAACCTGTGCCCTGGAAAGATGCAGCACACAGGACAGGGTACTTAGATGGCCTCTTAAATAAACTAGACTTATGCAAGGATGAAATGGAAACAGAATGATCTGCCCTGTGAAAAGCTGGATCTAGCCAGGGGGAACATTACCAAAGCTTAGTGTAATCTGGGTAGACATAAATGATGCCTTGCAGGAACAGGGGGACCATTTAAGCAGAGTCCTCTGAATATTTCAGTGCCTTTCGTCCGGAGGAATAAGCTCCTGATCAAGCCCCACAATCCCTCCCATCCTTTCTCCTACTTCGTTTTACAAAACAAGCCAAGCACTAAATTTGTTTTCTAGTCGTTCCAGCCTCAACATGAAATCAGATGATGGGCTGAGACCGAACTGCAAAGCTGCCCAAATCACCACAGCCATCATCAGCATCCCGACGCCGCCGGCGCTCACGCCCGAGGGCGAGCGACCTCCCCCGGGCAGCCCTGCCCACTCCACGAACATTTCCACCACCACCACGAGCAACATAGTCAAGGTCTCTGCCTTGTAAGATGTCTCATGCACAGAAGGAGGCTGGAAGACCAGTGGCCCTCTCCCTCCACACCTCCATGTTCCTTTCTTGCTGCAACTTGTGCCTGGATGGACCAACGTGATGGTTTTGGCATGGGATGAGCAGTGGAGACCTACCAAGGCAGCTTTGGTCAGACATGGACTGAGGAAGGAGTAGGAAAGGGAGGAAGAGGCTGGTTAAAGGATAAACCTGCATGGAGAGCGTGGTGTGCCATGGTATGGGGCAAAAATCACCTGCTGAGGGGAAGAATCATCATGGCAACAAGAGAGTCACTAAAGAAAACGGAATATAACACTGTGTATCGCAGCACCTTTTTAAAGGTTTTTAATGGATAATATTTATTCATGAGGAAATGACTGAAAAGGTGAAAAACAATGGATTTTGTGAAAATTTTTTTTTTCCTTCATGGAGCAGAACCTTGAAACCAACCAAAATTTCACGTGTTGTTTTTTTTTTCTTTTATAGGAAAAGATGTAGACAAAAGAAGCCACTTGTCACCGAAATCTCTCCCCATTCCTCTGTGTGTGTGTGTGTGTGTGTGTGTGAGTGTGTAGAACACCACTGAGCTAAAAGAGCAGAGCATGTTTCCATGAGTGGGTGCACAGCAGGAAAACACAACCATGTGTCAGCACACACACACAGACACACACACATCTCTTCCACCCTGGATGACATTCTTTATTTAGACAATTTTGTATCAGCCTTTTAAGTCAATACAGTGCAATTGCAAACAGTGTGTTTGTCTGCTAATTATTGTCTGTGGAAACATATTTGTGGAGAAAACAACTTAAAAAAAAAAAAGAAACAAAAAAAAAAAAAGGCTTTAGTAGAGTTTTAGTCCCACCTGGGTATCTGCTTTCTATTTTTGTTATCACTTTACTTGTAAGAGTGTGACTAGACTACAGTTCTGTATTTTTAAAAAGGACAAAAAAATATAAAAAAAGAGGTAGGATTCTTTTTTAATACTGTACACACAACTGGCAAAGGATGAAAGCACTGAACTCAACTGCATCCAGCGTTCCTGAGTCTAACAGAGGTTTCTTGTAATGTATGCCCATGCTTTTTTCAGTTTTGGTTTCTAGATATATCTTTCTTTGCTAGCACTGGACGTACAACCCATTGTAAATAGTAGCCAAATAATGTCTGGATTTATACTTGATAATAATTAACCCCAGAGCCAAATATCTTGCATGGACAGAGAGGTATTTGGCTTTTTCACAGTCTTAGGGCTCCAGTTGTCTCATCAATGGCTTCTGGGTTGCATTGAATTTGGGGATAGATTAGGTTAGTAATTTTAGTTCTCCAGTCCCAGCACAGGATCTACTTGAGGAGGGAGAGCAGTACTGAAGTGTGGAAAACATTGGATGCAGTGTGGTACAGACAGCATTTGCTTTTCACAGCTTTACACTGAGTTTGGGGAAAGTCTAATCCTGTACTTCTAAACCAACCAAAAACTGAAGGAACACTGTGTGGTACTGCCAAGAAGCCAATTCTTTGACTAATCTGTGGTCACCTCTTGCTGAGATCTTTCTAGGAATGATTTCTTGTAAGGAAACAAAATTGATTTCCTCTCTCCCCCTCCATAAGAGCAACTTATTTGCTCCCATTCTGCCTTTCTCCAGTGCCCTTTTCCCACAGGGGTGACCCATGAAGGGCAGAGTGAGGAACATCTCCCACCCTCCCACTCATCCTACACTGTTTGGCTAACTCCTGTGGTCACACACAAACCTTTCCAAGGCCCTACACCCTCCACCAAAGGGCAATGCACTAACCCCCAACAGCTTGTAGATAACAAGACATCAAGTGTCCTGTCCTGAACAGTAATTTTACCAACATCAAGAGTTAAAAGAAGAACTCCAAGCATGTTTGAGGCTGATTTAGCAAAGGGATGACTTTTTTTTTTAACATCTGTCATAATCTATCCTGATGTAAGATTTATATACATACACATATAAATAACTACAGACACATACATGTATAGAGAATTACTAGACCTACATGCTGACTTACATACGAGCTAGCAACCTGCTTTGTTAGCAAATCCTGCTAGTCTAGAGGGGCTGATGCATTAACCCAATACCCTCCTTAGAATCCTAAAACATCCTAGGAATAGTAAGGCTATGGCTAAGCCTCCAGTAGCTGCACCAGCTTCTAGTCATTTATTCCAGTGCTGTAATATGTTACCCAAAACTAGGTTTAGTCCTGTTTTAAATGATTCAAAAGCTTTGCCTTATGCTGCTTCCTGTAGGAGGTTATACTGCAGTTAATCTTCCCATTATTGAGGTGTTTTTTTATCATTTTTCTGGATGTTTTTTAATTTGATCTTTGCTTTCATTTCATTACCTGTCATCATCTGCTCCCCATCTGAACACCCTCACCCTTGTAGATCAGAGGCCTTTGCTCTCCACCACTTCCCACCTTCCAACTTCATTTTTACACTGGCACAGAGTGAGGGGGAAATGCCACCGAGCTGACAGGGTAGAGGAATAAAAACCTACAAAGAATCAGGGATTCCACACGGATTCTTGGTGCTGCCTTTCTTAGTCCTGATTGACTGTGGAGTGCTGAACAAGCCACTTCACCTCTCTGTACCCATTTACCTGTAAATAGCAATCCTGGCAGCCCCTGCCCAGAGCACTGTTGATGCTTTTTATTGCTATTAATCAAAGGCTTTTTGAAACAACAACAAAAAAGACTGTAAAATTCAACATTTTTAAGAGGAAAAAAAAATAGTAGGGAGGAAAACCAGTGCTAGGGGTTTCTGGCTGGCTGCTTGGGCTCAGCTTGTCAGGGCTCTGCTCTCTTCCATGGAAGAGGAATTGTTATCCTTGCTCAGAAATACATGACTTGCCTCTTCTGCCATTACCTGAGCAGGTGCTGCCCCATGCAGTCAGTTCCTCAGCACAGACTCTCCAAGGATAAAACCAGACAAAACGAAGGAAGTCTGAGCCTAGAGGAACAGGGCTAAAAATATTTTTAACGGAAGCATTCGCTCTCTTTATCCACTGAACTGAAGTAGCCTGAGTAATGCTTCCCAAAGCACTTGGCAATGTGCTCTGCAAAAACCTCCCTGGATTGCACAGCACAGCCACAGCCTCACTGGGAAAGCTCTGAAACAGCACAAACAGGATCTGTCTCTGCCTCTCAGTGGTGGGTAGGGCATAGCAGAGCATCCCTGGAATGCAAACAGGGAAAAAGGGAAAGCATTTGCATGGGAGAGCATGGGAACTGCACTACAGCCACAGATCCTAGGCTGTCCCAAACCACAAGGCTCTTTCTAACCTTTAAATAGCAACTTCAAACCATTGCTGAGACAAGGCCAAGTCCCTCCTGAAAATTCCTAAGCCACAACTTTCACTGAAGGATGTGGGCTGTTCTCAGCCATCCCAGTACTGCCCTGACTTACCAGCATCCCTCTCCTTTTCCAGAGGCCACATACATCCATTGATCCCGACACAAAACCAGCACATCCCCCTGCAATCCTGGTCATTCCTGAGGCATATGGCAAGGGCTTCTCCAGAAAACAGCCTGATTAGCCACACTGCTCAACACAACATCAGCAGTGTGTTGGCAGTTCATTCCAAGCCTTTCCCTTCCCCCCACTCCTTCTATAGTGTTAGAAAAGTTCCTTTAAAACCAGATAAAAATTGATCATTTGTATGAAAATAAAGTGGATTATTTTTTTTCCAGGCTTTTCTAAAGCAATATTCAGAATATCAAAGGAGCCAACTCTTTTTTTTTTCTGAGCATTTTGTTCCCTTTCCAAAGCATTTTCGGAAGGAAAAGTATTTTCACAGGTTTTCAGGATATTCTATTGACAAACTTACTCTTCTCACCTGGCACTGGGCTGCAAATAGGAGTCACATCCAATTGGCAGAGAATGGTGAGAAACACCTTTCACATCTAGGCTTTGACTTCCATCTGCTCTTCCTTAAAGTCTTAAGGAATTGGCCACAGGTAACACATTCTAGTAGGCAAAAATTAAAGAGTCAGAAAATTCAATCCATCCTCCATCAGCACCAGATCCTTCACTGTGATCTATTGCATTGCCTTTTCTAGTTGAGATTTAAAACCCTCCAAGGACTCCTAACTGTTTCCCTGGAGAGCTTATTCCAGAGTGATAGACCTCAATGTCAAGGATTTTTCCAGCTGTTCAGTCATAACTCTCTCCTTATTTTCCCCTCTCTTGCTGCCATTTCTACTCCCTTGGACCATTTAAATTACTCTCCTTTCCACAAGAGGTACAGAAAACTTTCCCCAGCAAATTTCTCTCCCAGAAATTCCTTTTATCTGTTCAATGATTATCATTGTTGAAAGTGACCTGGGGAAAAGATAAACTAAGTAACATACTTAGCTTCCAGTGTGAAATAAAGTTAATGGATGATTCAAAATAGGTTTTTGAATTGGGCACAATGACTCAGTTTGAATCAATGCCACTTATTGAACCTAAAACTGTTGATAACCTGCACTGCATCTCACCATTGACTCTAGTTCAGACAGCTCAAGGTGTGCATGAAAATCAGATTAAAACCAGCTAAAGAGAGCAATGTTTCCTCAAATATTTCGCTTTTTTTTTAAGTGAAGAGGTTGCAAACATGTTGTATCTTATGTGTATTATAAAGCAAACCCAGTCAATTAAAAATCACATTTAATTTGTGTGTTGTAGCATCCCTTGAACCATGGACTGTTTTTATCTGTTGGACTAAGGTGGTACAAAACACTCATGGATGGTTGGTAAATAGCATTGATCAACTAAATATCAGCTTAATTTTCATCTACACTATCAATTTTGCTTTTAAAGTTAGGTGAATAATATACTTTCTCCACATAATTTATCCATCAATTAGATCTTAACTGATTGCTTAAAATCACTTGTTTCTCTCCAACACTTCCAGCAAACTGCACTAGATAAATGGCTTTAAAGCCCAAGTTTTGAGGCTTCACTTTTGCCAGGGACACTCTTCATAATGATTTTTCTCTTTTAAAACTGTAAGAGCAAAAAGAAGGGCAACACATCCATCAGAGCCAGGAGCCAGCACAGAAATCCATGTGCTCCTCCTGATCCATCACTCAGTGACCTCGAAGAAGTCATCTCACCTCTCTGCCAATTACACAACCTGTCTACAAATTAACACCTCCTCTTTCAATCAGTGAAGCTCAATCCCTGACCCCCTCACACACACAAATCCCTTCCCTCCCTAGGGAATTCTGGAGACAGCACACCAGAACTGCTACTTCTGTTCAGAAAGCAAAACCTGTGCCAGAAACACTTCAGGTGAAACAGTTCAAAGATCAGGTGACAAAGAGCTCGTGAAAAAAAAAAAAATCCCTTCTGTTCTCAGTCTGTCCCTTGTGTGTGTACGTGTGCACGTGGGGTTTTTTCCCAGTCTGAGTTAAACTAGTGCTAGGCCCAGGAGTCCCAGCTGTCTGGGGGAGAAGGTCCCACCCACCCCAAGTGCTCCTCTCCATCCTGCTGTGATGACTGGGAGCTCCACAGGCTCCTTGGACCAATGAAGTCTCTTACACACTGGTGTGATGGTCTATTTTTGATAGATCAGTACAGCATTCCAATGCAATGGTGTTTTCTTTAGGAGTTTTATGTTCTAAGAAGCTCTCCAACCTTATTATTTTCTATTTTGGTACTCTCAATGGGCTTTGCTTCCAAACATCAGAGGACAGAGACGAAATGTACTGTACACAACTGCAGGTAGCTTCATTTGAGAACAACTTTCTAGAAGAACCAAGTTTCCTGTTGTCTTCTTTTGGAATTGTAGTGCATATGTTGAAACTTGTATATCATTTACAGTATTGAGTCTTGTGCCACTGCTGTACCTGATGTATCCAATCTGGATTAAACAGAGTATGTGCCACAAATACCAAGAGGATGCTGTAGATTTCTTCTCAAAAAAAAAAAAAAAGAAAAACAAAGTCTGGGAGGTTCTTTTGGAGAACTTTGGGTGTTGAGTTGTATTTCAAGACTAAAAACTCTCATTTAAGTGACCATTAAGGAAAACAGGGAGATGTTACAGGAGAGCAAAAATGCAGATCCTGTAGAGTATTACTGCACTGTTCTCCTTTTGAATGCTCAGAGTAGCAAAATTCTATGAGCAAAATTCATCTTGGGAACAAAATTGGCATTTTCAAATGCTGCAGACAAAAACTAGGTGAACTCCCTCCCTGGAGGAGTTGATGACACAAAGGGAGTAAGGTAAGAAAAAAAGTACAGAAGGAAAACTACATCTAATGATATGTTTATTACATATTCAGAGCATGTTATGCCTTTCTTTTATAGGCACCCTCAGCTTGGCAATGAGGTTCAGGCTGAAGTCTTACATCTGATAACACAGATAGGATCAGCTTGGCTCAGCCACAAAACAAGGAGAGCTGCTCTCAATCACATCAGCAAAAATCACTTGGAGGCAACATTTAAAACTAAAGCAGACACTGAAATCACTTACTGGGTGACTTCTAACAGCCTACACACATTTTACTCTCTTGTAGTAAAGGCTGAGTCCCACTAGGAGCCTCCAGTGCCTCAGCTGCAGGCAAAGCTCACACCAGCCCAGCACAGAGCACAGCCCAGGCTGCATTCCCAGGCCACTCCTGAGCTCAGTCAGGGTTAGAAATCCTTCTGCACACTGAGGAGTATGAAGTTTAGAGCCATCACTCCCCAAGAAGGACCAGGGGCACCATAGGATTAGCACAGAGAATGTTAAGAACACTCAGGCCAGGGATTTACAAACTGAGAAAGCTTAGTGTACTTCTCCAGTGGCTGAAGGTGAGCAATGGAGCATCCCTGAGACATCCCTCACCCAAATTAAAGCAACTGTCCTTGGAAGTAGAGTTCATAATATGTAGGACACAGTGCTCCAAGTAATTCCAGACTTACTCTGCTCCAGGAACAAAATCCAACCAAATCCAGAGTGTGTCTGCTCTAGGGAACACTGGAACACTGAGAAACCAAGGAAAGGAGCTGAAGAAATCTCTGTGATCCCAAACACACTAAAACTAGAGAATGAAGTTTCACAATTAGTGTGGAGTCAACCCAGGGTCAGCCCCCTGAGCCAGCAGCACTCCCAACTTTTCCTGCTTCAGGACAGCACTGCAAGCCAAACAGGAACTATCAATTAGTTTTAGCACTAATAGGTAATTTCATTTCTAATTAAAGCTTTCCTGTAAGTGTGGCGAGTCTGATACTGTCACACCCAGAGGGACAGAGCAATTATGATTGCTGCACATTTTGTAGATAATTAAACCACCCTGTAGCACAGAGTTTGCTGCACACCTTGCTCTGGAACTGTTATTTATACAGTGGTAATTAACTGGATCGAAATTAGCAATACAGGCATTGAGATGCAAGTTTGACTCTGCCACTTCTCTGGGAGATAATCAGTGTCTGGTGTTTACTAAGAGAGTTAGGAACGTGTAATGATCACCAAGTGAAAACAGACCAGGGAGTCTCACAGTGAGTTCATCCTGACCCAGAAGTCACAGAGAAGACAATCAGGTGGGTGATGAGGAACTGGTACAGGTTGTCCAGAGAAGCTGTGGCTGTCCCAGTCCTGGAAGTGTCCAAGCCTGGCTGGACAGGGCTTGGAGCAACCTAGTCTAGTGTAAGGTGTCCCTGGATGGAACTGGATGATTTTTAAGGTCCTTTCCAACACAAACCATTCCATGATTCTATGAAATACAAACCAATGCCAAGTGTATTTTCTCCCTACTGTCATTTCTTACACCTAAGTGGCTGCTTGTTATCATCCTTGGTTTACTCTGGACTGTACAGATTCCAATGAGCATCCAGCTGTCTTTCTTTTCCTTTTATTAACAACTTAGAACACTTATCACGGGAATGTGTAAATAAAACATTTACCTAGACACAACTGCTTAGAAAAAGACAACATTTTTCTTCAATCCCAAACAGTGTCTGTTTGTCTATGTCCTTCAGACCAGCACTGTTTCCAGTGTCCAATCATGGAACCAACCAGCCCATCCCTACATCAATCCCCACTTTTCATCAGCTCCTCGAGATACACAGAGTTGACATTGTAGGCATTCATCCAACTGAACTGCTTGCAACTTTTCCTGTAGTGAGACAGTGCTGCATAGTAGTTTTCCCAAGCTTCATAGTAAGATTTCCAGTAGTCTTCATAACTCCAATCCATATATGGAGCATCACCATCCCCAGAGCTGCAGGTACAGTCCTCTTCAGTTTTCCTTGTGGAAGAGCTAGAGAAGTGATGGGTTTGGCTTTTCTTTTGTTTAGTGTTTTGTTTCCCAACTTTCTTTTTCACTTCCTTTTGCTTTGGGACCTGTGATTGTTCCTGAGGCTTCTCTAGTGTAGGACAGAATCCTCCACGACCCCGAGGGGCTGTGGGGACAAATTTTTTCTCCTGTGTGTCTGAAAAGGCTTCCAAGCAGGAGTTATTCTCCCTGCTACTAGAGGAAGTCCTGGAACTGTCTGACCCATCACTGTCACTGGACACATCACCATTGGCTAGTGTCTCTGTGTGATGTTCTATCTCCTCCCACTCCACATCCCCATTTCTGGGGAGCTCACGTTGTTCCCCTGGGCCTGAATAGCTCCTTACAATTTCCACCTCTCTCTCCGACCCTTCTTTAAGGAAATACTCATAGTCCTCAAAAAAATCTGAGTAGCTCCAGGGATTGCTGAGTCTTTTTTTGAAGGAAGACAAGCATGGAATTTTGGGAAGATAATTTTTCAAGGCCTCCTTGTCTGGAGTCTGAGAGTGGTGAGTGTTGTGTTGTTCTTCAGTCCTGGAGACAGTTTTGACTTGATTCCTCTGTTCTCTGTCACAATTGGAGGTCTGGGAGTTTCGCCTGCTTTTCTCTGTATTTGCAGAATTTGGGCCCTTTTTGATCTGCTTTTGCTTTGGAGCTTTTTTTGGCCTTTCCACAGAAGAATTACTTCTTGGAAGATCAGAGAGAGGCTGAGGTTCCTCTGAAAAGCCATTTTGGACAGGCTGCAGCACTGGTTCCTCTGGTTTAAGGCACACAGTGTCACAATTCACCAGAGGAGCTGTGTGTATAGCAGGTTTGACTTCTACCTCTCCACTTTCAAATTGATCCATTATTCCAGGAGGTATTGGCTCTGTACAACAGGGAGACAAGCAGGCACTCAGTCAAGTGCATCCTTCCCTCTAGAACTCAAATGAGTACCCAAGTAAAAGCTCTGCAAAACTGCATGTTAAGATATTAAATCAGGGCTACAAACCAACCTCTTCAATTCCTTACAGAGCTCACAGAGGCAGAACATTTCCTTCATGGAAGGCACCAGAAGTTGGACCAGCACAACCAGCACTGCATTACCTGTCACCTATTTTTCATCTCCTACTTGACCAGATAAAGCTAGAGCTTAGGCAAAAATGCTCCATTTTTAGCAGAACAGCTTATGGCAAAGCAAGGGAAGCAAATCTGCTATGTTAATAATTCCTTACTTCCTCCCTACTATATCTTACAGCCTGAGAAAGGCTTAATACCAGAGTTTGGGAAATCCAAGTAGCTATGGAGTTGCTGACTACAAAGCTCCTGTCCCTATCCACAGGCTCAGTTCATTTGCTATTGCTCCACACACAAGGATTCATTAGCAGAAAGTCTGAAAACCTGGACTAAAAGCAAAGCAATTCCAGCACAGAAGACATATGTGAGCTCCTTGTGGACTTACCTGAAGCTGTGAGCAACACAAAACAACCCAAACCCAGCTGCATTCCTAGCACAGAACACACCTGGCAGAGGAAGCAGCTGCAGATTACACTTCTGAGCAATTTTCATCAGCATGTTTTCCTCCTCCCCACGGCAGCAGAAGGTCACAGATAAACCTAAAGTGCCTGTAGCACACAACAGAGAGTGAAATTACCAAGCAGAGCCAGGAATGGCAGGGAAAGCTCCACAACTGCCCAGGACTGTCCTTACCAAAGCGACCAGCTCTGCCAATTCGGTGCATGTAGGTCTCCCAGTCCAGGGGCACATCCAGGTTGATGACCAGGTTCACCTTCTCAGCATCAATCCCACGAGATGTCTTGATAAAATAAGGAGAGAAGGGAAATGATGACTGAATATGCTCAGAAAAGCTTTAAATCAGTACAGAATCACAGACTGGGGGAGGCTGGAAGGGACCACCTGGTCCAACCTCCCTGCAGTTACTCCTAAGGCATTTGGTACTCACAACAAAGTAAACATGTAGTAACTTTTAGCTGTTATAATACACCATAAAACTCCTACAATTTTCCAGCATTACAGGTAAAAGAGTCATATTACTTCAGGATATGAAAACTAGGGATCAAATTTCTTATTCTGCTATGGAACACCCACAAGCCAGAAGGGTTTGCCCCCAGCACCAAGAAGTCCAGTGCACGAGAAATCAACTTATGGTAGGACCTCAAACAATATAACACAGATCAACCACAAAAAGCTGACAGTGCCTCAAAGAGAACCTCTGCTCTGTTTAGCTGTTTGCACTGTCACTATTAGGAGTATTGTACTAGAGAAACAAACTATTCCTTTCCACAGCTCCTACCCAAAGGAGGACACTACTCCCATGGAACACCTGTAAGCTGCTGCAAAGCAACAGATTGATTAAAAACTACTTTTGAAGCAGCTCAAAGTTTGGTTTGGTAGGGACTTCAAAGACCATCTACTCCCAATCCCCTGCCATGGGCAGGCAGATGAGGATAGGAGACAATTTCTAAGCTTCACCGAGTCACACAATGCTTTATCAGCACATTTATGTTCCCTTCCATCCCAAGTTAAACCTAACTCTCTGAATTAACTTCATGTGCAATTCTCCTGTACGCTGTGAAACCTGCCTAGCAGGCAACAAATTTGGAATAAAATCTGTAAGAAAGCTTGTTTGGAAGCAGCAAAAAACTCACCAAGTCTGTGGAGATGAGAACTCGGCAGTGGAATTGCTTTAATTTCGCCATCGCGTCAAGTCGCTGATTTTGGTTCATGTTGCCTAGAAAGATGAAAGTTAGAATGAGTTTACATTGCTCAGCTTTATGCCCCTCAAATTCTAGAAAAACACTGGTTTGTATCATCAGAAAGATGTTGAGAGAAACTTCCTCGAACATCAGCTCTAAAGATGTCAAGAAGAAATAAACAGAATTTGAAAAATAAGGAAATCGATGACAAAAATAAATTATTTTGTTTGTTTGAAAGAGAAACTAATTATGTAGATACTTAACCCACTTGGACAACACTGACTTTAGATGGATTTTATTTAAATATACAAGCCATGGAAAGCACTGCTGAAGTGATAACTCAGTGTTTCTAATTGATATTAGAGGTGTTAAACCTTTATTTCTGGCTTCTCTATAGAGCTAAGTTCAACACTTGCAAAGAGCAGTAAAGTTTCTCTTTACTAAGCCAATCCATCTACAAAAGTGACTCTCAAACACATGTGAGACCAGGAAAGCTAAACTTCAATTCATCTTTACATTCATTAAGTCCTAACAACCTATGAGGCCCCAAATGTTGTTCTGAGCTCTTTAACCAGAGGAAGCAAAGTAGGATTTGAGATTAAATTTTCCTATTTTAGGTCACATTTATGCACAAGTTCAGTAGAATGAGGAAGTTCTGACTGGACTCACCTGAAATGCACTCGGCAGGAAAGCCTCTGGATGTCAGGATTTCAGCCAGATGTTGAGCCCTGATGGAATACACACAATGTGAACTGGAAACAAACCCACTCCTTAACAACAGGTTGTTCTCTACAGCCAAGGACTACATTCCCTAACTACACTCCTTTCTTTTCAGTATTTCACAGCATTCCTCAGGTTGTATTTCAGATCTGAACTTTGCAGACTACTCTGAGACCTTTTAGGTCTCATAAATTTATCCCTGATTGATTACACCCACAGCTTTCCAACAAGCTTTGTACGGGTTTTATCCCAAGTTTCTTACCTGCTGTGCAAATTGGAGAAGACCAAGGCTTGGTTGAATGGAATCTTGCTAAACAACTCCTGTAGGTGACAAGTTTTTTCCTCAAATGTTTTATGTGGAAGTGGATGGGAATTCACAATTTTGTAGTATTGTTTCAGCCCTGAGCAAGGAACCAGAAGCACAGATTAAGGGTGGCAATAAACACAGGCACAGAGCTATGTAAACATGTGTTCCTGCAGCTCCAACAAAGGCTTTGAAAACAAACATGTGCCAAATCAGAACCACCAGGAGTGGTTTTTTGTAAAAGGTTGACACATTTTTTGGAATGGATAGGAAAAACAGAGAGTTTTATTTATCATTGATGTTTTAAATACACAGAATCTCACACTGGTTTGGGTTGGAAGGACCTTAAAGACCATTTTGTTCCAACCCCTGCCATGGGCAGGGACAACTTCCACCAGCACAAGTTGCTCCAAGTCCCATCCAACCTGGCCTGGAACACTTCCAGGGATGGAGTAGCCACAGTTTCTCTGGGCAACCTGTGCCAGTGTCTCACACCCTCACAGGGAAGATTTTATTCCTCATATTTAATGTAAACCTAAGTTTCACCATAACAACACCAGGAATAAATATTTCATAAACCAATTAACTCATTTATGGAGTGAGATTATGAAAAAAAAATCACGTATTATAAAGGCACATGGCTTGGTTTTAATATAATCCTCTTAACCTACTGATCAGTATCACTATAAATGGTGTTTATTCCCTTACCAATGAGGCCTGGGTCAGTAGGGTTCAGCCTCACAAACGTTGGTTCCCTCATGTACCTGCACAAAGCATCAGCCAAGGCCTCAGGGTAAGTAGCTGAGACAGCCAACATCTGCTTATTGGCTGGAAGTGAAGAGTAAATCCAACTGTGAGGCAAAGAAATGGGAATGATTAAACAAAATGTATCTAACCTAATGTTAGATGCATGAGAAAAATGTTTTTGCTCACTTTATTTGCTCCTGAAAGCTTCCTTCCTCCAGCAGCTTGTCAGCCTCATCCAGGATGAAAAGCCTAATACTGGCTGTGTTCAAGTAGTCCAACTCTATGAGCTGCTTTATTCGACCTACACAGGAGAGAGAGAGAGAAAAAGAACTTCAGAAATACTCACTGAAAGGTCCTAATGATGAATTTTAAAGGGGTTTAAAAATTTTTTAATAAGCCTTATAAAGGGCATATTGGGAATCATAGACTGGTTTGGGCTGGAAAAGACTTTAGAGATCATCCAGTTCCACCCTCTGCCATGGGCACGGACAAACTCCACTAGCCCAGGTTGCTCCAAGCCCCATCCAACCTGGCCTGGAACACTCCCAGGGATGGCGCAGGCACAGCTTTCTCTGGGCAACCTGTGCCGTGCCAGTGTCAACCTCACAAGGAACTATATTCTTCCCAATATCCAACCTAAATTTCCCCTCTTTCAGCTTGTACCCATTCCCCCCTGTCCTGTCACTCCAGTTCCTGATGCAGAGTCCCTCTCCAGCCTCTCTGTAGCCCCTTCAGATCCTGGAAGGGGCTGTGAAGTCTCCACACAACCTCCTCTTCCCCAGACTGAACAGGCCCAACACTCTCAACCTGTCAAATCTCTCACTAGAAACAATCTCTCAGTAAAACTATCAAAATGTCTCTGGCAGTGGCCTTTGAAGCTGTGTTCTATGAGGAACAGCAAAAAAAACCCCAATCCAGATGTCAGAAACACCAATTATTGCACTGTGAGGAATCACACAGCACCTGAAGCACAACAAAGCTCATCCTTACCTGGAGAGCCAACTGCTATGTGGCACTTCCTCAGCCGGACTTTGTCCCGGTTCAGAGGAGTCCCTCCGATGAACACATGACATTTCAAGCCTTCCATTTCAATCCCAATCGTTGTGATCACTGCATGGATCTGCACGGCAATCTCCCTGGTGGGCGCCAAGATCAGGATCTGGGAGGGGCAAGGATTAAACGTGAAAGCAGCAGGATGAAGCTGAAAACTAAATCCTAGCGTTGTGATGATTTAAAGGGCAATGTCTCGAGGGGGGCAATGCCCATTGTCCTCCTCCAAAAAAGCGACTCCCCATCCCAAATTCACCTGCGTGGCCGAACTCTCCAGCAGCACCGCATCCAGCGCGATAGTGGCGAACACACACGTTTTGCCCGTGCCAGACTTGGCCTGCACGATGAGATCTGCAAAGAAGCCACCACAACGCTCAGAGGGCATAGCTTAGGGGGTTATAACCTCATC